GTCTTGTTTCATTTTTCTGCAAATGGATTTCCAATTTTGCCAGTGCCATTTGTTAAAGGCACTACCTCTTCCCCATTTTGGCCCTTTGTCGAAAGTCAGCTGACTTTAGGTGAATGGGTTTCCTTATGGGTTCTCAGTCCTGGTTCATTGACCTATGTGTCTTTTGTTGTACTAGTATCAGCCTATTTTGACTACTGTGGCTATATAGTAGGTTTTGAGATTAGGAAGTGAGAGGCCTCCTACTTTGTTCTTCTATTTTAATAATGCCTTGCCTTATCTGGGATCTGTTTTCTTTCCATAGAAAGTTAGCGATTAGTTTTTCCATATCTTTAAAGAATGTTGTTGGAATCTCGATTGGGATTGCGTTGTATCTGTAGATGATTTTGCATAGTATTGACATTTCCACAATATTAAGTCTTCCTATCTATAAGCAGGGTATATGCCTCCATTTCTGCAGATCTTTTTTTGGTTACTTGGAGTAGTGTTTTGTAGTTTTCGTTGCATATGTCTTTTGTTTCTCTGGTTACGTTTATTCCAACGTGTTACATATTTTGGGTGTCAATTGCAAATGGCACTGTTTTCCTGATTTCCTTTTCATTAGTATATTAGTACAAAGGAATCCAACTGATTTTTTTTTTTTTTAAGTTTTTATTGTGAATTGAGAAAAAGTTTACAGGGCAGTTCATCGGGTTTACATTAAATAAATCATATACTTTGTTTCATTACAATGATTATAATCCTCTCCATGTACCATCAGTTAGCAGTATTTCTCTATGTTCATTTTAGCTCTTTCTTACTTTCTTTTTTAAAAACACTCAGGCATATATAATAATTTACACCACCAAAGGGCACATTCTGCAAGTCTGCCTCCTAGCTGCCAGCTCTCGGTTCCTCTCTTTCCATGAGTCTAGAATCCTTAGCTGTTCCCTCTCTCTATGTCCCCATCTCTGCCTCCATCTCTGGTGTTGCTGCTTCTTTGGATAAGGTACCTCATTCCACTTGTACTCTTCTCCCTTGATGGTCCTAGGGTCCTCTGTTTCTGGACTGTAAGCTTAAGAACTCCCCAGCTTTTGCTACAAAACTTCTACCTTTACAATTGTGACAATCACAATTAGTCATGATAACAATTACTCATTATTGAATCATAAGAATCTTATCCCCATCTCTTTTTGTCAGACCCATCTAGACAAGATGAAAAAGAGGGAACTATCTTCCCCCACACAATCTTTTTTTTTTTTTCTTTTTAAGTTTTTATTGTGAATTGAGTGATAGTTTACATGGGAGAACATCGGCTTTACATTTATCCTTTACATTTATCATTTCATTGCAATGATTACAATCCCCTCCATGCATCATCAAACAACCAAAGGGTATGCCCCGCAAGTCTGCCCCCTGGCTGTCAGCATACAGCCCCTCTCCCTCCCTGAGTCCAGAGTCCCCAGCTGCTCTATCTCTCCACATCATCGTCTCTGCCTCCATCTCTGGTGTCACTGCTTCTCTTGATAGGGCCGTGCACTACACTCTTCTCCCTTAATGGTACCAGGGTCCTCTGCTCCTGGACTGAAAAAGCATCCACTGCCCTCCTTTTATTACAAAATGTCTACCTTTACATTTGCAACTCTCACAGTCAGTCCTGATGGCAGTTATTCACTATTAAACCTCAAGAGTCTTATCCCCATTTCCTTTCATCAGCTCCATCCAGACAGGTTGGAAACCACTCAATGGAGAGTCTACCTTCCCCTGTGCCCTCTGGCACCAGACTCCCTCTTGAAAGCTTGTAAGCCAGTCACTTCGTGCCTTTTTAGCCCTCCCATTTTGGGTAGCCAATGTCTAAGTTGCCCATCCCTGTCAACCCTGTGTACCAGTGGGGTGGGAATGATCCTCACTGTAAAGATTCATTCCCTCTTTTGAGCTACTACATCCAAAAGAATGTTGTTGTTGTTGTTATGTGCTGTGGAGTCTCTTCTGACTCATAGCGACCCTGTACAGGGTTTCCAAGGCTGTAAATCTGTATGGGAGCAGAAAGCTTCATCTTTCTCCTGTGGAACAGCTGGTAGTTTCGAACTGCTGATCTTGCAATTTGCAGCCCAGTTCATAACCATTATGCTACCAGAGCTCCTTATTCAGGTCAAATTAATCAAATTGTAGCAGACTACTCTTTTTTCCCTCTTCTTCCTTGCTCTAGTCAAGTTCTGGTCATCCAGCCATTGAAGCCAGGTCAAGTGGGTACTATCTTCAAGTATGGGTGTTCTTGTGCATCTCCCCTCACTTCATATCAGCTGGACACTTCATTCTCCGCTCTAGTCCTCTGTGGCGCCATGTCCCTGTCCCTGGGCCCAGGAGTCCCAACTGATTTTTGTATGTTGATCTTGTACCCTGTCACTTTGCCGAATCTATCATTTAGTTCCAGTTATTTTCTTGCAGTCTGGGATTTCCTAAGTATAAGATCATATCATCTACATATAGAGTTTGCTTCTTTGCCAAATTGGATGCCTTTGATTTCCCTTTCTTGCCTTATAACTCTGGCTAAGACTTCCAGCACATTGCTGAATAGGAGTGATGATAAAGGGCTTCCTTGTCTGTTTCCTGTTTACAGGGGTAGTGACTTCCGTTTCTCACCATTTAGAGTGATGTTGGCTGGTAGTTTTGTATATAAGACCTTCATTGTGTTGAGGAATTTCACATCTATTCCTATTTTGTTGAGTGTTTATGTCAGGAATGGGTGTTGGGTTTTGTCAAATGCCTGTTTGCATCAATTTATATGATCATGAGATGTTTTTCTTTATTTATGTGGTGGTTTATGTTGATTGTTTTCCTAATACAGAACTGTTCCTGAATACCAGGATGAATCCCACTGGGTTCTGATGTTTTATTTTGTTGACATATAATTGGATTCTGTTGGCTA